TGTGGCAGAATGCCACTATTGTTCTGGGACATAAGTGGAGCACCTGCAGTCCCTTAGAGCAGAAGCGTGCTCCCCGCAATAGAAGAAGTGCATACTTCGCAGAAGAAGCGCACTCGCTGCAATAAAGTTGACGCCTGCTGTTTCATTCTCATGTCAGCTCCTCGTGCATTCTTTTAACTGGGTGTCTCACCGCTGAAACCTTCCCTTCTCTATCGGCTCGGCGCTGACACCATCCATTTGATTTTTTAACCTCAAGTATATTTCAGGTTCTAGAATCTCCATTTGACTCTCTTCGAATAGCTTTCAGATTTCTGGTGAGATTCTTTATCTTTTCATCTACTTTAAAATTTTTATTAAAGTCTCTAATTATTCAATATCCAAATCAGCAGTGGTACTATTTATCTTGTCTTTTCTTTTTTAAAAATAATTTCTACTATTGTAGCATGTTTCATACTTTTTTATTGAAAGCCAGACACTGAAATAAAATGCAGAGGTGCAGAATGATGCTGTCTACCTTCAAAAAGGGTTAATTTTCCGCTAGCGAACAGTGAGTTTAGTAGCAAATTACTGCAGTCCTGTTTTAGATAGTTAGAGCTGTGTTATTTCAGTTTTGTCCTTATTCTTAGGTTCTTATTTCAAGGGCATTGTTATGGACAGAGACGTGCCTCCACTCCTAAATTCTTATGTTAAAACTTTAACACCCCTCCCCAGTGTGATGGCATTTATAGATGGGTCCTTTAGCAGTTAATTAGGTTTAGATGAGGTCATGAGGATAGAACTCTCATGATGGGATGTGTGCCCTTATAAGAAGAGATACTGTAGAACTTGCTTTCTCCACACATGAACAAAGAGGTCATGTGAGCGTACAGTGAGATGATGGCCTCCTACAAGCCAGGAAGAGAGGCCTAACCAGAAACAAACCATTCTGGCATCCTGACTTCAAATTTCCAGTCTCAACAATAGTGAGAAAATGAATGTGTGTTGTTCCAGCTACTCGGACTATAGTATATTGTTACGGTAGCCTGAGCAGGCTAAGACAGGCATGGTCCTGACTTATAGGGCCTGTCACTTCTCTGATTTATCAATGGAAAGCCTGGGGTGTTTACCTGGGCCCTTCCAGTTTGGCAGGGCTTGAACTTCCCAGTACTATGAAGCTACTTTCCTAGTACTATGAAGCTGCTGGAAATTCAGCTCAGCTTTTTAGCTTCTGATCTGCTTTTGCTCGATGGGTTTTTTAGAGACTTCCTACATATATGCGGTTTTATCATCAGCCAATCACTGGAGTGTAATTTCAATAGACAATTTTGGAGGCACTTCTCTTTACTACCCTCCTTTCTGAGATTTTGCTCCTCAAGTTCTAAACTCTGACCTCCTCAACCAGTGAGACTGCTACTTTGCGATTGGCTTTTATTACCCTTGGCACAAAATTTAAAAAATGCCCCCAGAGAAAAAGCTGTGGTGAATGAATATGGAGCTCATTTCATATGTTCTTCTTCTTAAGGACAGTGGTCTATAGAGTCCTGTCTGTAAGTTGCTCTCCAATGCCTTCAGTCATTTGACACATTTGTTCATGTTTTATTATTGTTTTCAATGAATACATTCTTTAGGTTCTGTCAAAACCAGAAAAGGAATATTTCTACTCATATTTTAAGATTCAACCCATGTGACTTCTCTTGTGATGTTTTTCCTTATTCTCTTTCTCTCAAGTAGAATTATTATCCTCCCAAATAGAACCTCTTCTTATTGCCATAGCACATTCCTCTATTATAACTCTTATTAAATAACATTTACATTTTTATGGAACAATTGTCTCTCCAATAGACCTGAACTGTCATAGAATAAATATAGGTTCTAATTTTCTTTACTCCACATTCCCCTCCAGCTATTGCTCTATTCATCTCATTTACTTTTCTGAGAAATGTCTTTAAAGATCTAACTATACTCAGAGTCTCTCAGTTTTCTCTCCATCTCCTCCAACTTGTTCTTGAAGCTACTCCAAACATGTTTTTGTTCCCACCATACTACTAAAACTTGCATTATTGTGGTCTTTGACAGTTTCCATGTTATCAAATTCAATGGTGAATTTTCAGTCTACAACTTTCTTGATGTATTAGCAGCCTTTGGCATAACTGATCACTCTCTTAAGGGCCCCCGCCACCCCACTCCAACCTGGTTTCCCCTATTTTCTTGGTGGCTGCTCTTCACTCATCAAAATTGAGAGAGATCTTTCCTGGCCACCACACTTAAAATTGTGATGCATTACCCACATATACATGCACATCTCATCAAACATTCTTGGACCTCAGGGCTCATTCCTCAGACCTCTTTTCTTTCTACATTCTCTCTCTTGATAACCTTGCTTCATAGCTTTAGATACTACCCACGTGTTGACATTCTAATTTAAATGTTCAACCTAGACCCTTCCTTGAACTCCATACCCATATATCCTCCACCTGCCTCCCTGACATCTCCACCTGGATGTTTAATAGCATCTCAAATTAACATGTTCAAACAGAAGTCCTGAGTTTCACAAGCCTGCTGTTTGCAGTCTTCTTTCCCATTTGGTATATGGCAACTCTGTCCTTTAAGATATGCTAAGGACAAAACCCTTCCAGTTATTTCCTACACCCTGTTTCTGATCTCTAAACTAATCTGGTCACTTCCACCTTCGTATTTTATCCAGAATCTAACATATTCTCATTACTTCTACTGCTATCACTCTCATCCAAGTCATCCTCATCCTATTTGCATTACTGAAATAACCTCCACACTTGTCTCCCTACTTTGCTAATTCTTTTGCAGTATTATTTTCAACTCAGCAGCCAGAGAGATCCTATAATTTAGTGCATGCTTCTGTACAAAATCCTCCAATGACTCAATTTATTCAGAATAAAAGCAAACTTCTTAAAATCACCGATAAGTCCTCACCTAATCTCCCCTTGCCCCTGCCTTACCTTTCTGACTTTATTCTCTATTACTAATTTTTGTCTTGCTCCTTCCACAGGTACCTCTTCTCTTTGCTCCAATCTGAGCCTTCGCCTTTGCTCTTCCCTTTCTCTGCTCATTATGATTGTCCTCAAGATATCCTCACAGCATCCTTCCTCACTTCCTTTAGTTGTTTACTCAAATATCACTTTTATAGTGATATCTTTCCTGACCACTCCATCTAAAATTGTGATACACTACCCACACATACATGTACATCTCCTATCCAACTTGGGTGCTCTTTTTCTCTCTTAGCACTCACCACTAATATACTACATAGTTTACTCATTTATTTATTCATTCATTCGTTCATTCATCTGTCTCATTAGAATGTAAACTCTACAACAGTAGAGACTTGATTTATTCACAACTGAGTCTTTAGTGCCTAGAACAGGTACTCTAAAATATTTGTTGAATGAATGCCTTTTTGTACCATTTGTACCTACCATCAGATGCTCTTGTACAAATCTAGTACCTGCTTGGCATATAGTAGTAGTCAGAAATGTCTGTTAAATGAATGGGCCCATTATATATATATAATATATATATATAATGGGCCCATTCATTTAATATATATATACACACACACACACATACACACACACACACACACGCACACAAATTTAGTTTCACAGCAAAACTGAGTGGAAAGATCAGTGTTCCCACATATTTAAACTCCCCTCCCCCCCTGCCCCAAAACAACAAACACAGAGCCTCTCCTCATCAAATCTTGTACCTATGTGGTATATTTATTACAATTAACCAACACTGACACATCATTAACAAGCGAAATCCATAGTTTACATTTGGTTTCACTTATGAACATTTACAGGTTTTGAAAAATGTATAGTGTCCACCATTATAGTATCATACAGAATAATTTCACTGCCCTAAAAATTTCATGCTCTACTTATTCATCCATCCCTCCACGAAAACCTGAGAACTACAGGTTTTTTTAACTGACTCCATAATTTTGCCTTCTCCAGAATGTCAGTTAGAATCATATATTATGTAGTTTTCAGATTGCATTCTTGCATTTAAAAATAAGCATTTAAGGTTCCTCCATGTCTTTCTGTGGTTTGATAGCACATTTCTTTTTAGCACTAAATTATATGGTATGAGTGGACCAGTTTTTTTGCCCATTCACCTGCTGAAGGACAATATTGGTTGCTTTCAAGTTTGGTAATTATAAATAAGGATGCTATAAACATTTATGTGCAGGTTTTTGTGTAGAAATAAGCTTTCAACTCACTTTTGTAAATACTAAGGCTGGATCACGTGGTTAAGACTTTTTAGCTTAAAAAAAACTTTCATCCAAAGTGGCTGTGCCAATTTGCTATCACACCAACAATGAATGAGAATTCCTCGTTTTACATCCTCACCAACATTTGGTGTTGTATTTTGGATTGTAGGCATTCTAATAGATATCCCATTGCTTTTTCAAATTTGCAATTCCCTACTGACCTGTAACGGTAAGCATCTTTTCATATGCTTTCTTGCCATCTGTATGTCAAATATCTATTTTGCCCATTTTCTAATTGGGTTGTTCCTTTTCTTAATTGTTGAGTTTTAAGAGTTTTTAGTATACAATTGACCCTTAAAAAAGACGTGGGTATTGAGACACCCACCACCTACACAGAAAATCAGAGTATAACTTTAGTCGGCCCTCCAAACATGAAAATATTGTTGACTCTTAAACAAGGTGGTTTGAAGTGCCAGAGTCTACTTACACAGATTTTTTTAAATCCCCATATTAGTGGACGCATGCAATACAAAGTCACATTGTTAGGGGTCAAATGTATTTTGGTTAAGTCCTTTATCACATATGTCTTTTGCAAATATTTTCTTCCAGCTTGTGGCTTCTCATTCGACTATATACCTTTCCACAATGTGTAATTATGCTGTGTATAATTTGCTTTTTAATATAGCACTATACCAAGCATTTCCCACTTCGCTTGAAACTTCCAAACCATCATTTTAAAGGACTGCAAAATAAATATCACATTTCCTCCACAGCTCCACAGCGTAGATTTTATTTTCCTCACTTTACAGGTGATAAGAAATAAGAGAATGGAAATTTGTCTGTGGTTTTAGCGCTGCTTAAACCGCTAAACTCAGAATCCCCCAGGAAACCTACCCGATGCTGTCTCCGCCCCGCCCTCCCATTCCTTGGCGGAGGTTTCTGGAACTAGGTAACATTTCCTTTTTTTTTGTCTTCCCAACTCGCTTTAAAACAGAGTAAAGCCGGGATCCTTTGGCTGACACATCTCGGGGTACAGGGCCCCGCGGGCCTCAGGGCGGGCGCTCTCTCCTGTCTTCCTCCTCGGCAGGAGCACGGGGCGGAGCAGGAGCTAAGAGTCCACGCCCCGCCACCCGCCCGGGCTCACTCACTCGACGCGCAGACGGCGCGGACACCGGACCTGACCTCCTGAAGCGCAGCGGTCCCAGCCGGCCCCCACCTCCAGGTGCCGACCGCGCTGTTCCAGCGGGGCGAGGAAGCCCAGGCCACGTAGCTAGACGCGCGCAGCACGGTGGGGCCCACGGAGCCGGGCGCGGTGAGCGCTGGGAGGCCGCTCCGCGGCCCGGTCTCCCCGAGCACTACGAGCTTTGTCTCCGGACACCCCGCTCCCCCGCGTCAAGCTCGGGCGCCCTCCCCCAGGGCGCCCCAGTGAGGCTGCTGCTAAGTCGGAGTACTTCCTGACTGTCTCATCGCTGCTTCTTCCAGCACCTCGGCCTCGGGAAGTTTGCCGCGAAAACGAAAGTAAATAACTCGGGTGCGTCTTCGTGGAGGCGGTGACCGGGTTTGCTAGACTCCGCTTCTAGGCAGGGGCGGGGCTTCCTGGTCTGGCGTGCGGCGGTGGGCGGGCTTTCCTGAAGTCGGGCGGAGAGTGTGCTGGTTGGGCGATAGGCGGGGTCCGCGATGATCCCGGAAGTCGGACGGTGGACGGGATAGTCCCTCCCTACTCCCGCCGCTAGGACGAGGGGAGCACCTGCTGCGCGGCAAGCGGGGCCATGTATTCAGTTTGCAAATCCCGGAGATCTGTCAGCCAAAGGATCCCGGCTTTAATTCGTTTTAAAGCGAGTTGGGAGGACAAAAGAAAAGAGGAAATGTTACCCAGGCATAGAAACGTCCGCCAAAGTTCCCGGAAGTCGGGTGCGGAATTGCTGTCAAAGGTTCAGAAGCCTTACTCGCCGGAACTTTAGGTGTAAATCCGTACCGGGGCGGAGACCTGCCCTAGGGTCACGACAACGGTGTGACGCTGGAACAAGCCCTTCGTTTTTGTTTTCTTTGTTATTTTGGTAGGACCAATGGGTTTTCATTGCATTATTGAGATACAGTGGTGTGCTCTTGCCATAATAAGATTAGTCAATGTCTTTAACCGGGACTTCTTATCAACCCTTTGAAAGGACCTTTTGCTGTTGCACTTGCCCGCCGCAGCAGATTGCAAACAATCAAAAGCGTTTGCGCCATAATCTTAGATGTGAGCTGGCAAATGGAAAAGAAGAGTCAACAGCCACATTGACAAAAGGGACGAATGTCATAACCCTAGAAGGCCTCTTCCATGGTCAGTGGCATTTGCTTTTATGCAGCGCTACCGAATCTGTTCAGGGTTTTAAAGAGGCTTGGCTACATTCTTGTAAAAATTTGACAGAAACCCACAAGGCGTGTGGGTGGGTGGAAGAGGGCGTTCATTTATTTCTTTGTGTCTTGCTGATGGTTTGTTTCTTCCTCAGAGCTCTTGTTTATCTTGGCCAAAGCCTAAGGCTGTTTTAATATGTTATAAGCAATTTTGCAGAAGCCTTTCGGTCTTTAGACCAATATTAATTCTTCCTTGATATACACTTGAAGAAATCAAGGCTTGGAGTGAACTTTGGAATGTGGAATGATTTAGTACTTGATTTGCATTTTTAACTATCAGGTTAGTGGAAGAGTAAGGAGAAGTCTAGGGCCATGCCACCCTCAAGGCCCGCCCCTCCTATCTCTTCTGATCTCGGAAGCTAAGCAGGGTGGAGCATGGTTAGTACATGGATGGGAGACCACCGAGGAATACCTGATGCTGTAGGCTTAAAAAAAAAAAAAAAAAAAAATTGTAAGGAGGAAATTGTGGTTCATTAGAAATGTGGAAAACTGCAGCTCTTCTAAACCGAAAAAGTGAAGGTTAAGCTTGTTTAAAATAAAATTTGGGGCGTATCATCATTGTTATTACTGATAAAAACAGTAATGATTACTTTAATTTTCATTTTTCTCTGTGCTGTATTGCACACTAGAAATATGTTCTGCTTCCGAGATTGTGAATGTTAATGAGAATTAAAAAAAATTCTAAAATAGCAACTTCCAAAATGGCAAACTATTATTTGGTGCTTATTAATCCATAACATGTTAATACCACCAATATAACCTGGGAATTTGAAAAAATAGCTTCCCATGCTTTGGTTGGATATTATACTCTGGCAAAATGATTGTATTAACCTGTAGAATATTGATTTTGAACCATATATTTTTATGTTTTTAAATTTTAGCCTATCCATTCCCCTGGTTCTGATGTAGCATACTTATTTAGTATAGGTGAGCAAGACTGTAAGATTAGGTTTTTGCATCTGATTTTAACAAAGACAGATTATTTTCGCTATCTAGACAAAGTAGCATGTTTTAGTGAATTGATAGAAGTCTGAGTGAAGAGAGAGTTTCAGTTCCAGAATCTGCCACTTTGGATGAATCATTTAACTCTAAATTTTAGTCTCTTTATTTGTAAATTGGAATGATGAGAATAAAACTTCACAGGGATATAGTGTGCTAATGTACATGATATTGCTTGGTTAAACTGTTTCAGTCTTGTCTCTTGCTCATCAATTGGCTCTTCCTTGCTTAGCTCTCTTGTTTATCTGGGCACAGCATCAAGATATATAATCAAAGAACTTTAGAAAAGTCCACAGTGTATCTTGAGTAAAATTGAAGTCCTATTAGCATGGAAAAAAGGGGGCCAATAATAGGTAGGCAACCAACATTTTCTGTCAGAGTCATTATGTATGGTCATCACTTAATTGAAAAAATAGTCCTCTACCACTGAAAATTAATATAAAAAATGTAAAAAAATATTTTTATTGAAGTATAACATACACAGAAAAGTGCACGAAGTATCACAACACTCTACATAGTATCACAAAGTAAACATTACCCGGATTAAGGAATAGAACATTGCTATCACTCCTGAAACCCCCTGTGCCTCTTGTCTCCCACCTATAGTAACCACTATTCTGACTGTTAATATAATTCTGCCTGTTGGGAGGTATTAATTACTTTTTATTATTTATTTGTATTTTTCCTTAGTTTTATTGAGGTATAATTGACAAACATAATTGAATATAGATATGAATATTTTGATACATAGACTCATCCTGCCTTATAGGTAATTTGTGAAGTTTCTTGGAATTTTCTATCAATTTTAGTGGAAAAAATTTGCTTCTCTGAGTCCCTGAGTTATTATCCATTTAGCCTGTTATAAATTAGTTATCATAACATGATATAACAGGTCAGTGTGCTTTCATTGATTACTCTGTAACATGGCTTTGTAATGTTGTGTTCTGCTTGCCTGCATTCAGTGTTTCTGTGATTTTTGGATATCTAAACCACTCACAAGGCCTTCCTAAGATATTTAGTGCTTATAAAATTGAATCATTCATGGGAACAAAAGGAGAAAAACAGTAAGAACAGAAATCACTGGGAACTGCATTAAAGATGCATAAGATTAGGTGAGGCCAGACTAAACCAGCAAACTGCCAGACTGTAAGGAGAATTAACTTGGATCAGGAACCAACCTCATAAAGTGCAGCCGACCCCCCTGGAGGTCTTCACCTGCAATCCATCATGCCTGCAGGAGGCACTGCAAATCCTAGTTGGTCTTGGCAAATTTGAGAAGGCAAGACCTGGGCTGAAGCAGAGATACCAAATAGCACTCATAAAACTGAAATTTTATACTCAGGCATATTTCAGGGCATGGTTATAATTCTTTCTGTTTCTTTGTATTTTTTAAGTGTTATTAAACATTCATATACAACATCATTTTTGAAAAATGCTAGATGTATTTCAGAGTATGAGTAGGACATAACTTATTCTTTCCTGTGTGTATATAAATTGTTTATAAGCTTTTTGTCCTTTGTAATGTTACTGGGAACATCCTTGTATGTACATAACCTTTATCAGCATCTCTGATTTGATTCCCCAGAATAAAGAACTATTGAGTGAAGGAATTATTCTCTTTAAAAAATAAATTTTATTATAAATATAATTTATATTCATTGTAGAAAATTTATAAAATGTAATAAAAGTGTAAAGAAGAAAGTGAAAAATCACCCTGCCATCTGGATATAATCCTCACTAACATTTTGGTACCTTTCCCTATGTCTTTTTTTTTTTTTTTTCCTGGTTATATATCTTTATGTATATCTAACTTACAGACTACAATTTTGAATGGCCATATGATATTTCATTTTATGAATGTGCTATAATTCATTGAACTGTGTCCTTTATTTTTGGACAATTAAATAGTTCTTTTTGAAAAATAATTGTCTATTTAATAATGATCAACTGCTAAGTTTCAGGTTTTGTCCTGAAGACAGTATGCCAGAGAGTTTCCTACCTTCTGTGAGCCTAATTAGAAATAATTATCAAATTACAGCTGTTTTAACTGTCGCAAGGGAGAAACACAGGATGCCATGAAAATGTCTAACGGGAAGACTTAGGATGGCTTCCCTGAGAATATGACATTTGGCTGAGAACTGAAGGATGAGCAGCATCTAGCTGGCAGAATATATCCTAAAACAGTTACAGGAGGAGAGTGGGATAAATTACCCTCATAAGATGGGTTCTGTATGCTCCAGAGGATCTATGGGAAATGGAAAAGGAGACCTAAAACAAATGCTAAAACATGTTTTATCTCTTACACCCTCCATCTCCCTATTCTCACAAGGATTGGTCGGTAGAGAACTGAGCAGGGTGATCCCAGCTGCACATTGGCATTCTCAAAGCCTAGTAAAACAGGATAAATGATGAATGTGAACAGCTGGGCCAACCATAGCCAGAGCTATAAAGCAGGAAACAAATGTGTTTTCACATATTTTTTTTAATGTAATCCTTACTGGTCCTGAGACAGTCATTGTTTCCTTTCGCAAATGAGAAAATTGGGGCTGTAAGCTACCCAAGTCACAGGGCTAATAAATTACAGGGCTAGATTTCATATAAGAGAAAGACCTGTGCGCTTTCTGCTATCATTATGGCTTCCACTAACTACCTCACCTTCAATGCCTGCCCCACCCTTTTATTCCCTCAGTCTTCATGTCCTTTATCTGGACAGCCCTGACCCCCTCTGCCCCACAGATGTGCTACTTTCCTGAAGATACTTCCTCTCTTTGGCAATATCTCATGTTATAGGAAGATGGTCCATAGTGTCCTCTCCTATTCCAATATGTGCACGTGGTCCGTGGTCTGGGTGGCAGGGCCCACCCACAGCCTTTGTACAAGATATAGGAGGTTGGTTATCCGAGCCCAACTGCAGCAGGTCACTGTACAAGACTACCGTGAGCTTAGGCATTTTCAAAAACCCCTCCAGGTACTTTTATTTTTTTTTAATTCTCTGTCTCCTACCATTTTATTATGAAAAATTTCAAAGTGCAAAGTTAAAAAGTTTTTACAGGGAACTCTATCCACCATCTATATCATTTTACTCTGCTTGCTTTATCATATAACTCTCCATCACTTATCCCTCTCTCTATCCACCAGTCTGTCTGCCAAGTAAATCAGAGACATCAGTATACTTCTCCCTAGATCTTTCAGCATGCACACCACTAACTAGAGGTCAGTATGTTTACAGATTTTTCTTTTGATGTAAAATTTACCTGTAATTCTTAAGAGTACATTTGTAAAGTATTGACAAATGCTGGTGCCTTTGTAAACCCTACCCCCTACTAGGATGCTAGAATATTACCATCACCCCAGAAAGCTCCCTTATGCTTCATCCCACTCAGTCCTCACTCTGTACCTGGGCAACCAGTGTTCTTTTTCCAATACAGATTAGTTTGTTCTATTAATATAAATGGAATTATATGGTATACTTTCGTATAGGGCTTCTTTTACTCTGCATATTGTTTTTGTGATTCACATTGTTGCATGTATTAGTAGTTCATTTCTTTTTATATCTGGGTAGTATTCCATTATATGAATATGCCAGCTCTTTGGGTTTTTGTTTTTTCTTTTTTTACCCATTCTATTGATGAATAACTGTTTCTAGTTTGGGGACTATTACAAATAAAGCTGCTGAACATTGTACAAATCTTGGAGGACATAAGTTTTCATTTCTCTTGGGATTGCAGTTGCTACGTCATAGTATAGGTGTATGTTCAGTTTTATAAGAAACTGCCAGACCTTTTCCCAAAGTGGTTGTGCAATTTTATACTTCTACCAACAGTGTATGAGAATTCTGGTTGCTTCATATCTTCACCAGTATTTGGTGGTGGTGTCAGCATTTTTAATTTCAGATATTCTGGCGGGTATGTAGTAGTATCCCATTGTGGTCCCCCATGAATTTTTAGTCTTCATTTCAGTTTGGGAAAATGAATGAATGTAAATAAATAGCAGAAAAGAAGAAGAATGAAGCAAAGTCCTGTCCTGAGATTGTGTACATTATATATTTCATAGCACTGATATACAAATTCTCCAAACTCATCTTTTTCACATCTTCCTATTCTTTTTAGATAGTGCATTGTTCTTTTTAGATTCCTCAGATTCCTTCTTTTGTTCGTAATTACTTTAAAGCTTTTTATTTTCTAAGGCTATTCAGTAGTTTAATTACCTAAAGTTCTTTCGTGCCTAGTACTGCTGTTTGTTTTATCTACTGGTTCTGGCCCATGATGAACTTTTTCTTTTGTGTTTTATAATTTTGGAAAGGGAGCTTATGTTAAGTGAGGCTTTATTTCTGGGAATCCTGTCTGGCCTGGCTTAAGGGTGTTTTAGCCTTATAATCCAGGGTTACCATCAGTCTATGACCACTTTCCATACAAAAGTCCTTAATTTGGGGGATCCTGGCGTATAAATTTAAAGAGTAGTATAAATTCAAAGCTCAAATCTATTTGATGATAGGCCCAAGGTTATGAATTCACATGAAGACATTTTTTTAATACTCCATTCCCAGCCTAAGACAAACAAGTTCTTTTGCTAGTGAACTGCTTTTTTTCTAATTATCTTTTCATTGAAGGGTAGGGTAGCACATTGAGGAGCACCATGTTAAGGAGGGAATCTTTGTTTCAACCCTCTTTTCTTGCATTCCTTGACCTTCTCTCCTGTTCCTGTCTACGCTTTAAAACCTGACCTCTGGATGGCCAAGTTAGTAGTGCCCCAGAGGGCCACTGTCCTAGTTCAGCTGCTATAATAAATTACCACAGACTGGGTGGCTTAAGCAGTGGACATTTACTTCTCACAGTTCTGGAGGCTGAGAAGTCCATGATCAAGGTGCCTGCAGATCCAGTCAGTGGTGAGGGCTTACTTCCTGGTTTGCAAATGGCCGTCCTTTCATTGTATCTTCATGTGGTGGAGAGAAAGAAAACTCTCTTGTGTCTTTTATAAGGACACTAATGTCATTCAAGAGGCCTCCACCTTTATGACCTAATTAGTTTCCAAAGGCTTCACTTCTTAATACTATCTCACTGGGGATAAGACTTCAACATATGAATTGGGGTAAACTCAAACATTTAGTCCATAGCAACTACCATACAGGCTACAGCCCCAAGGCCAGTGCTCTTTTTGTTTTCAGTGCCTGAAGTTCTTTTCCTTTGCACTGAGCCCAGCTGTGCATTGGAATGGATGTTTTTATTATGTTACCTAACAAATATATGTCCTTCATAGCAGAAGGGTTTTTCAAAATTTTCTAGTCCTCCATGTTGCTAGAAGTGAAAGTCTAAGGAATATAAATTGTGATCTTCTGTGATTCTTAGAAATATAAAAAAGTTCGTTATAGACACCATAAGTCTACCAAAAAATAAAGGCACACCAAGCATGCGGTGGATCTTTATGTAAATTTTTTGGATAATGACTTTCTTTGCACTGAGATATACTCTTGTTTTCTTTACAGGGCACAGCTCTGAAGGGGAAACTTAAAGGTGGTGTACTTTTGAGCATTTTGAGCATTTGGAAGGAAAGCAGACATGTCTTTGGATGACATTAAGATGAAATCTAGTGACTTCCTGGAGAAGGAGCATCTGGACAGCGGGGGCTTCGGAAAGGTGTCTTTGTGTTTACACAGATCCCATGGACTCGTAATACTGAAAAAGGTGTACACAGGACCCAAGCGCACTGAGTGAGTTGGGAGCAGGGGCCGGTAAACCAAAATACGGGCTGGTGGTAGGAAGCAGTTATTGCACAGATGCAGGAGCAGGCAGTGGATAACAGTGGCACAGGCTTTAGAATGAGACAGACCATGCATGAATTTGGCACACAAGCTTCATCCCTGCAAAGTTGTTATTATCCCTGTATTGCTGATAAGGATTCTGAGGCTGATTAGTGAAAACTTTACAGCTAGTGAATAATGGAAGATAAATGGAAGGAAGGAAATAGAGAAAGAGAAGGAAATTAAGGGTGTGAAGAAGGCAATAAAAAGAAAAGGGAGGGATCAGTGAAGACAGACTTATTTACTTGCTTCACATTTTTGGTAAGGACTAGCTCTAAACATGGAAAAGAAAAAAAGTTTTATTAGCAGTTCCAGAAACCCTCTCTTTAAAACAATCGGTGGAGTTGTTTCACTTCTCCCTCTTCTTGGTTATGAGAGAAGCTGCATTTTTTATTACACGCTCCAGCACAGTCCTTTTTTCAGGCTATGTTTCATTGCTGCTATTCATTTATCGTTTGTTCATTTGTTCATCAATTTAACATTTCTTGAGCACTCACTGCCAGTCACTGGGAAGGAGGGATAGAAAGATGAATAAGAAACTACTCTGCCTTCTAAAGCTTGTAGTCTGTGCCTAGCAGAGATCAGTACATGAACAGGCAGTGATAAATGCACTTGCGATGGGATTCATTTAAGGTGTATACTGTGTTTTGGGGGGGGCGGGGCCACAAAAGGAAAAGTTAGCCCCATCTTAACAGCACCTTTCCCTCCCACAGGTACAATGAGTCCCTCCTTGAGGAGGGCAAGATGATGCACAAGCTCAGACATCAGCGGGTGGTGAAGCTCCTGGGTATCATCATAGAAGAAGGAAACTACTCTCTCGTTATGGAGTATATGGAAAAGGGCAACCTGATGCATGTGCTGAAAACTGAGGTAGAGAGGGCTTTGCCATTCATGGTACAGGCACAGTGACTTGGGTACTGCTTGTCTGTTGTGGTTATTGCTGCTTGTCCTTTTGTAGCTTTGTTGGTGTAAATGGTATCAAATTGCAGTTAATAATCTGTCTTCTCATACAGTCCTTTATAGTATACGCCCTTTAATCAATCAATCAGTCAATATTTAATTGTTATCCATTATGCATATACCCCACATCAGACCATGTGTTTCATGAAGACAGGGCCTACCTCTGAATTGTGGATCTTAGAGTGGCTGACAAAAGGAAAACGAACAACTGTCTGTAGGGATTGAGAGGAGGGCAAGACCATGCACTGGGGAGGAAAAGTCAAGGCAGATTTAACAAGGGATTGACTTCAGAAAATCTAAAATATCTAGCAATTTACAAATTGGGCTTTCTTGCCCCCCCGCTCCCCCAATCCCTGCAGACAGTTGTTCCTGTCTGTTTTGTCAGCCACTCTAAGATCCATAGTTCAAAGATAGCCCTGTCCTCATGAAGCACATGGTTTGATGTGGAGTATATGCATAATGGATAACAATTAAAGATTGATTGATTGATTAAAGGATATATATATAAAGCAGTGGTCTTCAACCTTTTTTGGCACCAGAGACCAGTGCTTCTATGAGAATCTAATGCCTGATGATCTGAGGTGGAGCTGAGGTGGTGATACTAGTGCTAGCGAGCAGCTGCAAATACAGATGAAGCTTCTCTCGCTCTTCTTGCTGTGTAGCTCAGTTCCTAACAGGCCACAGACCAGTACCAGTCCACAGCTGGGGGCTTGGGGATCTCTGCTTTATGAGAAGACAGAATATTAACGATTGTACTTTGATACCATTTAAGAAACTTATAGCTTAAATATAGGACATTAGCAGCAGTGATACTGGATGAGTACAACTTAAAACAGGAAAATAAAAATTGACCAAATAACTCTAAGCATTTTTAAAAGTTTATATGCCTTTTAAGAGAAAGGTCTTGTGCTAGTTGTTCAGGAAGCAGTAGCAAATACACGGACAAATAAAAGGAAACAGATAGGTAAGAGAACAGTGTAGTGTACAATTTTTGATAGACAGCCTCATCATGTGTTATGAGAACACAGAGGAGAGGCATACACCCCAGCAAGGGGTAGATAGGGAAGGATTCCGGAAGAAAGATGCTTGAGCCAAGGACACGTAGAAGTTTTGAAGCAGAGAATTAGAGAACAGGTGTTCCAGGCAGAGAGAATGGCATGTGTAAACGAAAGTACACCAAATTTGGGAAACTGCAAATAGCTGGGTTTGGCCAAACCATAGATTGCCCGTGAGAGTGGTGAGATATGACTGTCTTTATGGCATATATTCCCCCTTTTCCCATCTCTTGTCCCCTGACCCCACAACTGCTACAGTTATGCCAATTATTTTAAGTCACAGACATCTGTCACAAATACCTATGGGAAAGAGAAAAGATAAATCACTGGTATGCATTGTATTCTCATTTGATCAGATTGCTATTCTCCACAAAACTAGATAAGATCAGTTTGATTGGGAGATAAATCATTTGGTACCACAGGCATTCTGGGGATCAGGCAAAGATAAGGTGCACTAATTGGGGCTCAAGAAGAAAGTCAGAAGGACATAGTGTACGGTGTAGTGTACAGTGTAATGAAGCAGACAGAGGTTTGAGAAGGGTATCTGCTTGCTCAGAATTTTTTTCCCAAGTCCAAAGATATACCATAGAAGAAGGGAAAATCTCTGGCAATTTTTTGTGTAGTAATGATCAGACTATGAATACTGTAGTTCAGCTATATTATGAGTTAAATACTTTGGGGGGATGACTTGGGAATCTAACTTTCATAATTGAAATTTTTTTTCCCTTTTTACCAGCAACCATAAATTTTTAGGTAACAGCCTGTTTGTTAACTAGGGACTACACACCCGTGTGTGTACTCATACAGAGTGAGAATTTATGTTTTTAAGTGTTAAGCAAATCTAAGGTTCAACTAATATAAATAGAAATTGGAATTGTCTACATTAACATAGATGTTCCTATAACTAGAATACAATTGTGAGAGTGACCTGAGACTCTACAAAGACCTGAAGTACCTGATAACAAATCACAAAATAGATATCAAATTCATTTCAGGATTAATAGCATTATGTTATCTTATAGCTTAATCTTTACATGTTTGTAATCAGTGTGAGCACATTCTCTTGTATTTTTTTTTCTCGTAATTTTTTTCATACACATATTTCCATGAAATTTTCCACATATTTAATATAGAGTAGAACATCATATTAGTATACCATAGAGAATATTTTTTTTGGTGTATTTATTTTTCCATTCATTCACCAAACAGGCACCATCCTAGGTAGTATGCATATGTCCTAAATAATAATAATTAAGGTTTGTCTTCATGTTGCTTAACTGTACAGTATTTTTATATATTACAATATTGTCATGGAAGTTTTATTTTTACACTGTGGAATCACACTATTAATACCCTTAGCACCTGGGATGAACTCTTTCTTCAAACAAGGGCTTGTTTTACAATGTCAGCAAACTTGCAGAGCAAGATAGAAGGCAACCTGGTAACTATACCTCAGGTGCAGACCCGCTACTCTTGAATGAAACAGTTGTTTTGGCCTGTTTAATTACTTTTCCATTTCATAGACTTAATATTACTTGTTTTAGAGCAGTATCCCCCTCTCTGTAAAAGGAAGGATAATTATGGAGACCATTGAAGGAATGCGCTATTTACATGGAAAAAATGTAATACACAAGGATCTAAAGCCTGAAAATATCCTCGTTGATGATGACTTTCATATTAAGGTAAACCGTAACCTAAAATCTTCTTGAAGTTTGGGGTATTTTTAGTTTAATTCTACACTGTAAATCTATTTTTGTACATGGTAGACTCTAAAGGAGGACCTAGCTCAACTTATAACTGGTGATGGTAGTACTGGAAGGCTCTACCAAGGATTAAGAAGGAAGATACACTTGATGGAGTTTATATTTTTTATGTATTTAGTTACTTTCATCTGCATTTTTTATGTTTTCTTCTGAAAACTCTCTTTCCAGAGTAGTAAAGGAACAATGAAAACAGATTTTGTTGTTCACTCAAGAGCAAGGTTTAACCAGGAAGATTCACAGATAA